GCAACCCTGACCAGCCACGGCAACCCTGACCAGCCACAGTAACCCTGAGCCAGCTAGGAGCCAGCCACGGAGACCCTGACCAGCCATGGCCTCTCTAGGTTCAGCGAGGCCTCCGTGGCACAGCTGTAGAGTCACAGGGAAAATGCAGGGACCGCTCAGAGGGCTGGGGTTTGGCAGTTGAGATGCTGATGACCTCGACAGAGAACCTCGGTGACTGGCCACACCCTTCTCGTTCCTTACCTGACCCTCGTCACATCTCACACTGACTGGATCCCTGAGGTCTCAAATTTAAACTCAGGAGGCCAGCGTGGCTGCCAAGGTGTAAATGCCTCAGACCTGCATGGACCTCAACCAAGACCATCCCCGTAAAAACCCAACGCACAGCATCCCAGCCCCAGCCCAGGCGCTCTCTCCCCGCTCACTGGAGGGAGGCAAGGAGAAGTCAGGCACAGGCCCCTGGGAGCCCGATTCAAACAGCCTCAAGCCATGTGGTCGGAATGCAAATCGCTTGCTCCTCAAGAACAAGGGCAGGGACTCAGTAACAAACCACGACACCTCGTCACCACGACCCCAACCGGACAACCACTTTGCAGCTGCCCGGCCCCTTCCCCCAGGAACTGAAACGGAGTTTAATGTTGGCCTCAGCTAGATGTAAAGATGAGAACAATTGTTAGAAAAACCCAGAATCATCGAATGGAGGACAAGGTCCATTGGAGTTATTCTCTTTGCTTTGCATCACCAGTGACTGCAGCCCTGCAGGAAATGGATTGATTGAATATTTGTGAGCGTCCCTCTACCTATCCGCCACATTGGCTGAATGTCTCCCACCGTTACTGGTGGGAGCAGATCCCCGGGAAAGGCGTGTGTGTGGATGACCGCGCTGTGCCGCCCGTCATTACCGCTAAGGCCTGCAGCTCCCGGGTCTCCTCCTCCGCGGCCGAGGCGTGATAGGACAGGACCTGCGTGGAAGCGGGGACAGGTTACACGATGGGGGCCAAGATTTCAGCCTGGGGTCCCGCTAACACCTCCCAGAAAGAGAACTAGACCCCTCAGACTCTCAAGCCTTGTTTTGTTTGTTTCCTTCAACAGAGAGAAAAACCCCAGATTTCAATTCAATTGTTCCAGAAAACAAAGTCAGACGCCCTCCCCCCCGACCCCCATGTTCAAAGAAAAGGGCTCACTTCAGTCTGACATTGTTGGTATAACAAACACATGGTTTACAGCCACACTATTGGCTCAGATTTGGCAGAAAATTTCTTTTCAATTGTGTGTGTGTGTGTGTGTGTGTGTATTTAAAATCCTGACTTTAGTTATTTGTGCTTGTGGGCAGAATTAGGAAAGCAATCTTTGTGAAAACTGACGTTTTAAAGCCAGCCGCCTGGAAGTGGCTCAGGGGAGGTCTGTGTGCTGCAGAATCCACAAAGAAGACGGCGTGGCTGGGATAGGGATGCCACAGACCCAGGGCTGAGGGCACCCAGAGCTGAGCAGCGTGGCCGAGGGACCCGCCCGCTGACGGCTGCGGCCACCCAGGAGCAGGGACTCTCCTAACTTGGCTGCGGGCTCACCCAGGGAGAGGAGGGGCCTGGGTACCAGCTTCCACATCTCACAGTTCTGGCTCTAGAACTTCCCATTGCCCCAGAGGGCTAGGGAGTGAGGCTCACCACGTCTTATAACTGAACCTGAGGAGCAGCAATGCCCATATTCAAAAGTGAGACCCTTTAGCAATGCAACAGTATTTCCGACACCGTTTTAACCCGGGTGGTGGTTGGATTTAAAATGTCTATCATACTTTTAAAACATTTTTGAAAGTTCATTTTTGACAGAGATAATACAAGATTTATTTTTAAAAACCCCCAAAAGTTTTAGGATCATTGTTAAAAGGTACCCATTTTCAGACCTTTGAGTGACAGGTACACGTGTGTGTGTGCATGTGTGTCATTTGGATGTGTGTGTGTGCGTATCTGCAAGTGGGGCTTCCCCTGGTTATGGTCTGAGATCTCATCTGAAATGATTCTCTAGCAAAGTGTTACATATTCATTTTAGGGAGTGGAGAACCAGATGGGTTACTGATGAATCTCAACTTATCTATAATAATAAAAGTGTAACATGCTAATTAGACCGGACAGCCGAATGACTTTCCGGACATCACTCCAGACATCCTTCCAGATGAAGCTGCGGCAGAGGGGGCCAAGGCAGTGGTGGTTAGGGGCGATCAGGCAGGCAGGCGAGCAGTTAGAGGTAATCAGGCAAGCAGGCAGAGGGATTAGGGGCAATCAGGCAGGCAGTCAAGTAGTTAGGGGTGATCAGGTAGGCAGGCGGGGGTTAGGGGTGATCAGGCAGGCAGGCAGAGTGGTTAGGGGCAATGAGGCAGGCAGTCAGTCAGGTGAGCCGTTAGGAGCCAGCAGTCCCGGATTATGAGAGGGGCCTAAACTGGCATTTGGACATCCCCCAAGGGGTCTCAAATTGCGAGAGGGTGCAGGCCGGGCTGAGGGACCCACCCCCAATCCCTGTGCACAAATTTTGTGCACTGAGCCTCTAGTATCGCATAACTTTCTAGCTCTTTAGTTGGGTGTTTATTTATTAGGGATGGAGGGAAGGTTACATCCCACCACGGATTCCGGCTCATGGCAACTGGAAAAGAGAGGCGTGTATTTTACACCAACACTGTGTGATGGGCAGACATGTGCACCCTCTGACATCTGTTTCCCTAGACTGGCCCGGGGGGAAGACATGTCGTGTTACATGAAGTGCATGTTTTCATGGATGTTGGTGAGGTCCCCCTGGAAGGGGCTGCCCCACCAGGGAGGGACCTGCCCGGGTCAGCCCCCAGCCAGCATTCACGGGGTCCCTGTGTGTCCAGGATCCTCGCAGATGCTCAAGAACATGCAGATCCCCAGCCTTCACCCAGGACTCACACTCAGGATCGGCCATAAATCTCTAAATGGAGTTTCTGATGATGGTGAGGTGGCCAGTGTAAGTTTGAACTGTGCCCGACGCATCTTTTCTTTTCCTTATTTCTGCTTCTCTAAGAGCACTTAGGATTTCTGTCTTTGTCTTTTGTTTTTTTGTTGTTGTTAATTCTCACAACAAGGATATTTTTCCACTGATTTTTTTTTTTTTTTTTAGAGAGAGTGGGAGGGGGAGAGACAGAGAAACATCGATGTGAGAAGAGAGACACGTCAATGGGCTGCCTCCTAACACACCCTGACCAGGAACAGCGCTTGAGCCTGCAACAACGAGGTACGTGTCCTTGATTGAAATCAAACCCGGAACTCTGCAGTCGCAGGCCGACACTCTATCCACTGAGCTGAACCAGCTAGGTCAGTCTTTGTTTTTGAAACTGTGACTAGAGCTGTTGGCAAGGTGAGATGGGCCGGGTGACTGCCGTGGCAGTTCCGTCCATGGGAGTGGATGGCCTGGGTCACGCGCTGCTTTCCATAATAAAGCAGACGGACTGAGCAAGCCGTGGGCCTGAGTTGTGGTTTGGTCACGTGACCTTTGACAAGTATGGACACCAAGAGGTCCCCCAGCTGTGCTCACCTCCAACGTGACCATCTGCTTGGCCATGGCCCTCTCCACCGCCTCATACATCTGCGTGTTCTGGATCCCCAGGCCACAGAAGATTACGAAAGCTTCCAGGAACTGCTCATCGTTCCGGTTGAATGGCTTCACCTTGCCGGTGTTCTCCTCCATCTTGTTCACGAGTTGGCAAACCCCTGTGATGACACATGGAAAGGAGCTGATGTTACTGGAGGTCACAGTGCTCAATGACTCTCACTCCCAGAGACTGCCTGATAATCTCCTCTTAGGAACGCCTGGCACCTCAGAACAGTATCAACCAGAAAAGCCTACTGGATTTATCTACATGAGCCCTCATTCCACATGGTCTGGAATGTGGGCTGTTCAAAAATCCTGAGCTATTTTCTTGCAGAGGTGCCCTGAAAGTTAGGCCACTGGATCCCCAGAGACAGCCTGTCCGTGGGAGACTAATTGGGTTTTTGTGCACTCTCTCGCCAAGAGAACAATTTTGATGCACATCTGAATTCTGGGCCAGGCAGCCTGCCTCTCCTTCCTGAGAAAGCAGAGGCTCAAAGCCACAGTTACACACAAGGTGGGACACAGAGAACAGCTAAGTCACAGGATGCTCTCACAGCTCACGCAGGGGCCTGCGTCTTGGAGAATCATGCTTGCAGATGGCTTCCAATACTTCAAATAAAAATGACACTTTGCATAGAAATAAAGGCAGAATGCATCTCTGAAGGAAACCATGACCTCCTACGTCCCAGCCTCTCTTTCAAGGTCAAATGTGTCATTAACAGGACTGGAAGAGGATGTCAACATTCTGACCGATCTCTACAGAACCATTTGTCCATGGACTCCTAAGCCTCATGGTCCCTGGGAGGACTGGGTGCTTCCCTCACTTCCTTGCTCATCCATACTTGTTTCTCTTATATCTTCACTGGAGGCCTGGTGCACAAAAATTCGTGCACTTGGCAGGGAAAGGGGTGTCCCTCGGTCTGGCCTGTGCCTTCTCGCAGTCCGAGAGCCCTCTTGCCAGCTGTGAGCCCGGCTTCTGGCTGAGCAGCGCTCCTGCTGTGGGCCCGCACTGACCACCAGGGGGAAGCTCCTGCATTGAGCATCTGCCCCCTGGTGGTCAGTGCACATCATAGCAACTGGTCGTTCTGCTATTTGGTTGATTTGCATATTAGCCTTTTATTATAGAGGGTGGTCTGTTGGAGGCTTATTATTATTGTGTTTGCACATTATCTCTTATTTTAATCCCTTACCAGTTCATAAGTTTATCTTTTCATCATTTTCCTTCTGCTTTATTTCTTCTTATTATTTATTTATTGGGGGGGGGGGAGTGTAGAGGGTGAAAAAGAGAAAGTCCTGTTTTTCTAATGTCTTCAGTTGACCACTTAATTCAAATAATTTTGTTATTAATAATAACAAAATACTTACAACTATATATCTCCCGAGTGTATAGCTTTGACCATGTACCTTGAGTATTTGTTGTATCAATACAACCATTAATTTTCTAAAATGCTCCCTTCTCCACAGGGGATACATCCAAAGACGCCAAGTGGAGGCCTGAGACCATGGCGAGTCCCAGACCCCCTATCTAGTAAGATTTCTCCTGTACATACACAGCTAGGATGAAGTGTAATTGATAAGTTAGGCACAGTAATAATGAAATAAGGCAATGCTAAAAATAGGCGGGCTTCTACAGGTGGAGATGGGGGGGAAGGGATGGTCACATCCCACACGAGATGGCATGAGACTCTCGAGATTTCATCACTGTCCTCAGAAGGTCATCTGATTTAAAATGTATAAATTGCCTATTTCTGGAATTTTCCATTTAATGAATTAGGACATGGAGTAGTTGAAACCACAGAACTACTGTGCTCTCGTTCTGACTTGGAGTTCTTCTGTGTCGTTCAGGAGAACACGTCCAGTTTCTGAGTTTTCTCCTTCCCACTGACCCTTTCATCCTGCACATCCAGCTCTAATGCATCACGGTCCAGGAGAGCGGCTGTCAATTCCACTCCTCAGAAGTCACTGAGCTCGTGTTGTGTGTGTGACTATCAACAGTATTTGTGAAATTTGGATGGATATTTGACAGGAATTTGTATTTTTAAATTATGAGATAAAAAGTATATATATGCCAAGTAGGTTCATTTCATTTTTATATTAATCAATTCTAATGTTCCCTCACTTCCCCCTTTCTTTAACATGGCATGGATTGCCATTTTGTCCATTTCTCCTTGTATTTTTAACAGCTTTGGCTTTTATATGTCAATGATATTTTTCAGTTTATTAGAAGCACTTATGACAATTACACTTTCCTCTGTGGATTTTAAGTCTAATCAATGTGGAGACCTGCCGGGGGTGACCAGCGGACCCTGAGCAACAGATGAATGGATTACTCTGACAACGTTTGCTGTGAAAGAGAGGACCAGGCAGCCAGATTGCCTGCCTCGCTAGGCTTTTATTACAGTTTGAGATAAAGTTTATTTTTTAGATACAATCAATAGGGTGAGTAATCTTGGGAGGACACGTGTGTTCACACTATCCTCTAGGTAAGGGCATTCAGGGATTAAGCGAAAGGATTCCAGTAAACACCCGGGGGTCTGCACGTGCACAGACTTGTTTGGAAAAGTCAAGGAATAATAAGGGGCGCTGCCTTTGACACTCCCCTAAGTCTCCCCTAAGTCGGAATTCCGATAAACAGAGCAGACAGCCTTCCTCCCTTTCCTCGCAATGTCCTCCTCACAACTTTCCAACCAGGTCTCAGGCTTCCCGACAGAGACTCTTTACATGATGTTTTCTCCTTAAATTCCATTTTGTCTGATGTTATTATCTCTATTCAAATTTTGCCCCGTTTGTGTGAAATGTGTTCTTGCAAGCGGCGTATTCTTCAGATCTTTCAGAAGCTCCTCGGCAATTCTGGCCCAACAGGCAGCCTTCTCTGTCTCCTGGTGCTAGAATGACCTCTGTCTCATTTCTCTGTTTCTTCCATCGATGCTTGAAACCTTAACATCCATATTTGTTTTCACTTTGTAAATTTTCACTTTGATAATTTTAAGCTATAATGTCTTAGTGTTACTTTTTCTCATTCCGGTCCGATTCCAGTCTCATTTCCGGGTGCTTATTATAACGAGGCATACCTTTCAGTTCTCTGACTGGGGAAACACTGGGTACTTAAGCTTTAAAACATCAGCGTGCTCCATGGAGGCCACAGTGCAGCTCAATCACGCCTGCATCGGGAAAACCCTCGCGAGTGTCTTATAAACAATGAAGCCATCAGCGATAGAGCCACATGATTGAGTTTAATGTGAAATTTAAAATGAAGCAGAAGTCAAAGTTAAACACATGTAATTTTAGGATATGAGTTTGTGCTGTGGAATCAGACTGCAACACAAGGGTGAGTGGAGGAGGTGGGGGAGAGGAATCCATTTGGAATCACATTCGGTAAAAAGGCCTATTTCTCACGCCTCCCAGTCAGGCAATGTGGGGTAGAACACTGTACTTTGTATTAGACTTTGCACTACCAAAGACATGGAAACGTAAGTTATTTACAGTGGAGATGGACTAAACTTTTATTTCTTTGGATGGGAATGGGATAATTCCTTTTAAAAAATGCCCTGGAGTTTGTGCAAACAACAGGAGGAGCTGCTGTGAGCAATAGGAGTTGGTGTGAACAGCAGGGGGAATTGGGGAAAACGATAGGAGTTTGTGTAAATGATAGGAGTTGGTGTGAACATAGGAGTTGTGAATAATAGCAGGAGTTGGTGTGAACAAGAGGAGGAGTTGGTATGAATAGTAGGAGTTGGTTGGTGAACAATAGGAGGAACTGGTGTGAACAAGAGGAGAAACTGGTGTGAACAATAGGAGTTGGTGTGAATAATAGGCAGAAGGATTTCTGGTAAATACAATATGGGAAAAGGCACGTTTAGCCTAATAAGTAGGGGGACTAGTTGATTAAATAAATGAATGTTGAATAGGAAAGTGTTTCCTTTACAGCGTTGGAAGCAAAGTGGTGGAAACACTGTCAGCCAGAGCACCGAGGAGACACGTGTGGGAAACAAAACCTCAGGGTACATCTGTCAAGACAACAGGCCCCCACTGGCCTAATGTCTGTGATGTCACCTTAATGTCAGTAATGGACAAGGATGAGCAGGGGAGGGAGGGAAAGATGACAGAAAACACATGGTCCATCTGTGTTCTGTGTGTAGCTCTGTGGGGATTCTCTGTTACAACGACACAATCACAGAATCTGGTCTGTGACAGGCAAGAAAAATGATCTACAGCCCTGACATTTTCCAGGCTGCCTCTGGGGCGCACAGTCTAGTCAAGCATTGAAATGCTTTGTCTCTCCCACTTATGAAACAGCAGGAACACTGGCAAGTTCCTCCTTTACTTGGAACCAACGTGCGCCCCCAGCTAAAACCCCACCCGGGGGATCATTTATAAATCCTTTTGATTTACAGGGAATTTTCCTCTCCAAAAACAGCATCTGCTTACTGCAGACTCTGTTCTCAAGTGGGGACACAAAACGTACGCCAAGAGAGGTCTGATGGTTCCCACTGGCATTTTTAAATTTTTTTGCTCACTTGTTGACTGTTTCATCCCAGAGCCTAGAGCGGTAGGGAGCTCGCTAGATACTTCTGATGAATGAATCAGTATAACCTACAATCTAAACCACATGTTCAAGAAAAAAAAACCAGAAACCAAGAAATGAGACTCGAAAACAATGCACATGATCAACTCGATGTTTCTCATCCTGCTAACTCTCAACACGTCATCCTTAAACAAAAACGCTGCTAAAACAGGATTACAATAATGACAGAAAGTACATCATAGTTAATAAGACATGCACCAAATGCCTGTGGTTAGTTGAACATCCTTTTATCATTTCAATATTTATCTTTTACACATTTTATTCTTTAAATTTACACTTGAAAGACAGAAGTTTCTGGGAATACATTATTTTTTTCTTTAGTAAGGGCAGTGTGGAGGTTAATGAAAAGCTTACTTACCTATCACTTTATTCTTCTTTCCATTTTTTATAGGCGTACAAAGCAAACTTCGAATGCCCTGCTGGCTTACGTTCCCCATGTTTTCATTCTAAACAAAACAAAACAACAGCAAAAAATTACAAAAAGAGTAATTTTCCCATTAGATGCTGTTATGTAAACTATTTTGGCCATCTGAACCCACTAACATAGTCATCTTTTATTAGCTGGAGTGATAAAAGTGCAGAAAATATACGAAGTACAATGGCTTTCACATGAATGCAATAGAAAGCAATTAGTTTTTATTATTAAAAATACAAATAACCTAGCGTTGGTTGGTTTGGCTCAGTGGTTAGAGTGTCAGCCCATGGACCAAAGGGTCACAGGTTTGATTCCTATTCAAGGGCATGTGCCTCAGTTGTAGGCTCAATAGGGGTGCATGTGGAAGGCAACCAATCGATGTGTCTATCTCACACTGATGTTTCTCTCTCTCCCTCTCCCTTCCTCTCTCTCTAAAAACATCAATCGGGCGAGGATATATCATAGATTTCTTTTTTCCCATTTTAAACGTTCCCAGCAGCTTACAGTACCAGCATGCACTGTACCCGGAGGAGGCGTCTGTGGTAGCCTAACAAGAGGAGCAGAATCCAGAAGAGTCAACCCTCCCCCCTGACACCACGTGTTACACACTGGCCCTCTGTGGACGTGTGACCGCTGTGTCCACTCCCATACTGCTGACTCAGAGGCCTCCTAGATATGAAACAACAACAGCCAGGCAGCTGTCTCCACATGCAATGCTTCTCTGAAGTAAAAGGAGAGAAAATACCAGGATTCAAAGTTTCCCATGGCTGAGAAACGGGTCTTTGCAGCCTTGTCAGGGAAAACAGATATTCATTCTCCATGGAGCTGCTCCCTGTGGTAGGTCACCAGCTACGTCACTTCAAGCCACGGAAAACTTACCTTTTGAGGACAAACTCAAGAACGCTAGCAAGCCTGTCTTGGGGCCATCACTGACATGACGTGGGCAATAGAGCAATCATCTCACGTGCCAATGAATTATTTAAAACGGATGCAAGTACACAGGGAAGTACTCAAGCATCGCGGCCCAGCTCCCGGCAGGTGCTAAGGGCATCTGGTCAGGGAAGGCCGCCCGCACTCCGAGCCCCACACCGGCTACTCACCGCCCAGGGGAACCTGCTGTCCTTGCTGACGTCGGGGATGTTGAGCGCCTCCATGGTGCTGGCGACGTACTGAGCGTACATGTAGTTGATCTGGCTCCCATCCCGGTCCCTGTGGGAGGAATGCAGGTGAGCGCTCTGTGGGCAGCGGAGTTAAAGAAATGACATAAGAGAGACAGACAGGTCTCTGGCCATCGGGCAAGCGTGTGTCGTACTGAGGAAAGGCGGCTTGAAATGCACTTCCCGATTGACAATGTGGGTGGTTACTAGAACTGAAATGGTTTGAAAAGACAAAGACCCACAATTTTCCAACAACCCACAGCAAGTTTTTAAACGCCCTAAGTCATCTCCTTGCCATCGCCGACGGGCCTGTTGATTTTTGTGCCGCTGAATGTAAAATCCACCGGAATTCCCTGCCAGGTCTCATTTTCATCAGACGATAGAGTGACCAAGGACCAGCCTGTTGTATTCCTCGGTTATTTTCTCTACGTATCCGCCCCAACAACCTCTCCCACATTTCAAATCCAGGGAGAGCCGACACGCGGAGACGAGCTTCACTCAGCAAGCTCGCGTCTCCATTCTTTCAGATCTTTTAGGATACTTTTAAGATCATAAAAAGCATAAAAATGTATCTTCTTCAAAAGATTCTCATTCACTTAGAACAGCAGTTCTCAACCTGTGGGTCGCGACCCCTTTGGGGGTCAAACGACCCTTTCACAGGGATCGCCTAAGACCATCCTGCATATCAGATATTTACATTATGACTCATAACAGTAGCAACATTACAGTTATGAAGTAGCAACAAAAATAATTTTATGGTTGGGTCACAGCATGAGGAACTGTATTTAAAGGGCCAGAAGGTTGAGAACCACTGACTTAGAATATTTTCCCAGTGACCATGTGCCTGGTATTACGTGTGAGTGAAGAAGAATGAGGAGTCAGAAGCCAGCCCGCTCCACACAGATAATCTGGAGGGAATCCCAGGAAAAGCTCCAGATAAGTGAGGGCTTTAGGCTCATTAAGCAAACTTTAAAACTGGGATCCTCCAGGGACAGCCAGAGCCTCGGGGAAGGAAGACAGGCTTCTGGAAAGATAAGAAACGCAAGGTCACCGTGAGAAAGAGGCTGGAGAGGAAGTGATAATGATGCTATTAATGGCTTGTATTATCCTTACCATCATCCTGTTCACAGCGGGAGCCGGATGAAACCCAAAATAGTTAGTCACTTGCGGGGGAGGGTAAAATCCGACTTAGAGACGCTGACAGGGAGAAGTAGCCACACGTCCATGACTTTTCAGAAACCCCGTTCTTTTAATTCCCCGAAGCTTTCCAGTTCCTAATGGTCACTTTAGGGAAAAGTGGTTGTTGGGGTTACTGAGTTATCATTTCCTTTCTCACTAGGGGAGGAATGCAGAGGGAGCTTCCTTCCCACGCTCCGTAGGCACAGCCTGAGTGCCCGTGGCCGGGGAGGCCTGGTCAGTGTCCCGCGGAGCCTGCCCACGCGGGTCATCGGCTGTCACACCGCTGTGGTCGGCGTGCAGCTGCACACGCTGCCGGGCAGCGCCCAGTCTCCGGACCCTCCCTTGCACCTGCACCTCTGGCCCCAGAACAAAGGCTCGGGCTCAGCCACCTGGGGCTGGATGCCATGTAAGTTCAAGTCCATAGGACAAGAGAGAAAACGTGAGGGCTTCTAGAAGCCTCCGCGAAGAGGCAGCTGCTGCATTTCTCTGCCCATCCTGCCTGGCCCCCACAGCCCTCTGACCCTGGAAAGGACTCAGGATCGGCCTCCCTGACCCCAAAGGGGAGGGCCACATGTGACGGCACAGGGGAACCGGGTGCCTGGGTCCCCAGGCCTGTGAGCAACTGAGCCGCCACCTCCAGCTCTTCCAGGAGCAGCAGCACTGTGCTCGCTGAGCGCCTTTCACTGGGGTTTTTATGATGCACCATCCAACCTGACCCTAAGAATGCAGCTGG